GGGGGGGGGGGGGGGGGAGCTTCAGTCGTGCGTTACCAATGCGACTGAAAGAGACGACATGAAACTGGTTATTGTTTTTGTCCCAGATAATGTGCGACTGTTTGAAAATTCGCATTTCTCTGTCAGAATTGCGCGTAATACACTGTAATTGCGAGGCTGACAAGTGTAAGGAAGCATGATTTTGTATGTAGCCTTTGAAGGTTGTATTTGTCTCTTACTTAAATTTAGTGTAGTGTTACGTTTTGCCGTGGGAAAGAAGAAATATCCGTTGTAGTTTCAGTCCAAATTTTATGTCATGTCGTAAATTTGAGATTATGATGTGTCTCTTGGGCTTACTTTACAGTTTTTTGGGGATCTAAAGTTATTTTCAGAGTTGTGGCTATTCGGTTATGTTAGACCTCATACATAAATAACAATTTTGAAACAGATTTGAGTGTAGTGAGATTTGAGTTTCTCAAAGGGCAAGCATGAATATGGCTGTCTTCTAGGGTTGCTTCACCATGTTGCCTAGTAGAAGTATACCGACTTTTTCGCTGTTCTTGCTTCCTCCATCATATTCCGGCGATTCGCAGCAAGCACCTCAGAAACATCGGCAAAATTCTACCAGACTACATGATGTAACAACCAGTAACAGAGACTAGCCTTGTCTAAGGGGCCCGACAGAGTAGGCACCTCTCACCTGGAGACATAGACAGAACCAGCCTCCGACAATGGAAAAAGTCTTGACAATGAATAATTTTAAGTATGACAAGGTAGTTGCAGCAAAATTTTACTTATTGGGCAGGATATGCAAGTTTATCCGTGTGTTTCTGTATTTCAGCTCCAAATCTGAAAGGACGGCCTCGGAGGAAACGTAAAAAGCGAAGTTTGTCTCCTGGAGGTTCAGAATCCAATGAGTCTGAAGAATCCTCTTTGTCAACTGTGTCCTCCACCATAAAGGTAACTTTTAATTCCAAACATGTCACAAGTCTTTGTTCAAGAAGATCGTAATGCTGCATTACCAATTTACCAACGTTTTGGACTACAGAAAAAGAAATTAATTTGTTACATTTACATAATGTACTAAGAGTTATTGGTGAAGGACCAATGGAAGGAAGGGTAAACAGTAATATTTCAGGTTAATATGGCCCCAGGTAGGATAAACGAATGCCTGACTGTGACAACTGTTTCCTGTCTTGTGAGACACCTGGCTGCGAGAGCCAACTGTGTGTGTGTGTATGTGTGTACACAGTGGACAGCTGTATCAGTGATCATGTCAGTCCATGATAGTGTAGGCGGAGACAGTGTCTGAAACACTGGAAACTCATTTCGTGCTGATACAGCTGATCACCTGAGAAGACTTCATTGTGAAGACCTCATTATATGTGTGACATTCTCTGCAAGTAGATTACTTTTTTTGGTTTATGCAGATTTTTTATGTTTTCTTACAGAGCAAACCAGCAGTCAGTGGTGGTGGAAGAAATGGCCTACGTTGCAACAATTTGGTCCAGCCGAGACGAAGCAGCAGAGTAAATGCTAGTCCTGAGGAGAAGGAATTCTTAGTGAAGTTGCATCGATTTATGAAGATGAGGCAGACACCAATAGGAAGAGTTCCTCATCTAGGGTTTAAAGAAAGTGAGTTAATTCTTGATCTTAAGTTTTCACAGCAGCAGTTCAGTAAAAAACTCCATCTTTCAGGGATGAACTGCGTCATATGCCGTAGGTTTTCCAACAGCGCGGTTTCAGCAAATACCATAGTTGCTGTCTCCTTGAATATGGGAACTGCAGTGTTATGTCATTTTGTCAGACATTTCTGGCACGAATAAAATTTTATAAACGTAATTATTACAAGTACAAATTTACAGTACAAAGATTAATATTTTTATTTGGTATTAAGAGCTTCATCATCATTCACTTTGGAAATTCACAATTATAAATTATGCATATCATATGAAATAATTTATTAGAATTTTTTATAATGCTGCTTAATATTTGACAGGAAATAAAGCAATTGTAATCGACATAAGTGGCAAGACTTCTGTGCTGAAAAGGAGTAATGTTTAACACAGAATTGTTTAGTTGCTAAAAGAAATGAGAAATTATAATAACCACAGTTCTGAAGTAGTCATTTTTGCAACTGTGCCAAAATATGTGTAATATGATGCCGAACAAAATGCGGCCTTTGAATCGCAGGTTGAAAAATACTGCGTTGGCGTAAGAAGAAGAAAAACTTTGGCACACAAAATTAATCAAAAAACAGTGGAAACTGTAATAATGTGTTTCACATTTGCCACAGTTCACAAAGAAAAAGACATTTAATAATATAAATTATCTGATAATTACATTATATATTTACACATTATTAGTCTGTATTATTGTATTATTTTTGTTCTCTGGGACTAACCCTTCAGCATGAAGGGATGTTCTGTATGCACTCTTGACAACCTTGTTTCTTTCTTGGAAGAACATGTTCTACTTGCACATTGGAATCATGTGGTTAGTTTTTTAACTACACGAGCAAACCATTTACCAGAGAGCAGGTGAAAATTCAGGCTGTCAATATAACTATCATTTTAATACCAACTACATTCAAGTTGTGCGCACGCACACGTGCGCATGTGCATGTGTGAAGTTATGACTGTTTCTGCTTGTCACTTTCTGGTTTCTGTACTGTTTGGTTATGCAACTGTAATTTGTTTCTTATGTGAACAGTTTAAATTGAAAAAAGGGAATTCAAATAAAAATTCAGGAGAATTGCATGTCATTTGTTCCATATGTATGTTCGTCGGAGAATGGCATGCAACGGGTTTTAAAACTCTTAAATAGCAAGAAGTTGTGAAGATAAAGACTAGGGATAAGAAAGTACTGAGCCATAAGAAGTAAAGAAACAAGTTTTTCAACATCATCTTGAATAAAAGGAAATTTAACAGCATTGGAGTCACAGTTGAATGAAGTTCAAAGTGCGAATAAATATTTCATTATTTAACCCTTTAAATGCTAATTTTACAAGCTGCTTTAATGCTGTGTGCCGAGTATTTTTGCCATTATTAGTTTATTTGTATTACTGTATTTTTAATGCATGCGTCTTATTTTTATGCTACCACATGATTGTAAATATGACTGAGAAGGCTTGTAGACATCTTTTTCACTATATGCACTGTCATTGACACTATGTATGGCTGCCGTGTTTACCACTGTCCAGTGACAAGCCTGTTTTTCAGACTCAAGGGAGATAGAGAAATGTTTTTGGTCCATTTTAAGGTTCTATAACTCTTCTACAGGTGGCATTAAGTTACTTAGCCACTTAACCTGATCAGTTTGAGCGGTATATTCGTGTAGTAAGGCAGTTTGTGTGTCATGCGTACACAATAGTGAATAATGTGGGTGGCATGGAAACCAGTGCACTTCTACAGAAGCATGTAGCAGTCAAGCAATAAAAAGGGATAATCAACACACTTTGTCTTAGGGCTTTTGTTCTGTTTGGCAGTTTTTTGATTCTTGTACCAGTGGTTTACAAGACATGGCTAAGTATTCTGTTTGTTTTTCAGTTGACTTGTTTGCATTCTTCAGTAAAGTTCAAAAGTTAGGTGGCTACAATGTTGTCACAGCCAATCGCATGTGGAAGCCTATTTATGATGACCTAGGAGGGCATCAGGGTAGTACTAGTGCTGCCACCTGCACACGACGACATTATGAACGGTAAAACACGCATTTTATTTTTAATGTAATTTTAGGTAGTAGTTATTTATATAATAGATTTCCATTCTTTATATGTTTATTATTAAGCAGATGTTATAAAAGTAATACCTTTGTTTAAGAAACAGGTATAAAACGTTAATTTGAATAATAAACAGAATTCTCTTGTCGCTGAAAGGTGGGTATTATCATTCATCTGAAATACTACGCTTGTTATCAAGACTATGCCAAAAGTGGAAAAAGTTATAAAATCTTCATACAGTTATACTGTTATTAGATGATTTATTATGCTTTACTCTTGCAGTGAAACCATTTTATAGTTTTCCTGCATGTAGAGTTTTCACTCTTGCAGTGCCTGTTTACCATGTTCCTGACCTAAACCACATATTAACAATGTATTTATTTACCGCTTACATTGTTCCAGTGTATAGTGGTTTTTCTGCATAATGTTTGGTCCTTTCACATTGCTCATCCATGAAATTACACTTCCTGTCATGATGAGTTTTGTTAGTGCCAGAAAGAAAGTTGTATGCCAGTAAGCTTGACAGGATGAAACTGAAAATAAATTATATTTTGCGGGAAATTGTATTTTGCCTGTTGATCATACTGGGTGCAGGCTTTCTATTTCTCAGCACGTGCATGCTATGGATTGGGCGATTATATTGTACTGTGTTTATGGAGTGGTAAAAATCCACGCATAAAAAGTGTTTCAAGATGTATGTTTTTTCTCTGAACTTTACTGTAATTAAGAAGGGTGTAATTTTAGAGACACCCCAAAGACATGGGAAAGAAGCAAAGAAGATGAGGGGAATCTTCACCAGACAGAGAAATAAAGAATGTGTTAGTTGAATGATATCTACAAAAATGCACAGAGAAATTACCAGTTGAAGGCACAGTTTTGAGGGAGAATGCATTAAAGATATCTGCCACTTAATGCACCAATAATTTTATGGTGTAAAATTGTTGACTGGGTAGCAATGTTTTTCTAAACATTTGGAGCAGTGTC